TGTAATTGCACCAAACCCGAAGTCCTTCTTCAGTCCGCGCTTGCACTTCGGAATGACCTGCAAAGCCCCGAGGTGGAACTCGGGGTAGACACTCCGATGCTTAAGTCAGCAATAATCGGGGCTACCTTGAAGGCGGAGATAAGAAAAGCTTAAGGTTGGTTTCAATTACCTTTTTGATGTGGCCCGGGGGGGTATTTATAGGATTCAATGAGGAACCCACGTGTCATGCCGAGCAAGATAATCGGAGCCTGACGTGTCCATCCATCCAGACGATTATTCCGGGACCGGGAATTTGAGAGGTATCCAGATGCACGAGCGTCCACCATACTTGCTGTGCCACTCATCGTAAGGGATCAGGTGCGGGCATGCTTATTGTCCTTGTCATGCAGCCATTTGAGCGGGAGGCTTTGGATTTATTCCTCACTTCGGTCATAAAGGAATTATCGTAGCAGTCTGAGGCTTGGCACCTCGGACCTATCCTTACACTATTCCCCTCCCGAAGTCATTCACTTGTGAATGATGTTATTGGGAATGTTAAGGGAAGTGCATAAACAGAGAGAATGGGGATAGGTTATGGAAGTAAGAGGAAGAAATAAAGCCTGTAACTTAAATGTAAACATAGCCGTAGCTAATGATGAAATATGTAATAGTGGATTACACTGAGAGTGTCTTAAATAGAATATGACCGGAGCGATCATGGCTGTGGTTGTGTAAAAATAATGACTAGAATTATTCGTGGCTGTAGCCATAGTAAAAAGTGATGACCGAAGTCTTGGTGGTTGTAATCATAATATGATGACCGGAGTCACGAGGGCCGGAGCCGTAATAAATATGATGACCGGAGTCATGAGGGCCGGAGCCGTAATAAAATATGATGACCGGAGTCATGAGGGCCGGAGCTGTAATAAAATATGATGATCGGAGTCATGAGGGCCGGAGCCGTGGTAGAGTATGTGACATGTAGTCATAGTAACTAAAACCGAAGCAAAACAGGTCTCTGTGGCCGGAGCCGAAGTAAAACACCATGCCAGTTTAAAAGTGTAATTGTATAAGTAAACAGAAGTGTTGAGCTAGGCTTATATAAAAATGGGAGTCAAAATGGCCGGAACCATAATAAAATATAATGACCGGAGTCATAATGGCCGGAGCCAAAGTAGAATGTGTGATACAAGATCACTGTGGCCGAAGTCGATGTGAAATATAATGCAGCATTAATATGGCCGGAGCCGAAGTGAAACACTTGACAAAATTGAGAAAAGTAAACAAAAGTGTTGAAATGGGCGTGAGTGGGTCCGTTTGGAAAATCTGACAACGTGGTGTGACAGTTGTCCTTGGAATGACGTATGCAATAAATGCAGCCGTAAAAAGATAATTGCAACAGTTAAACGGGCAAATTTAAAAACGAACCGTCAAGTTCAAAACGGTACCGTTTGGGGTTGTCCGTCGAATTCCAAACGGTATCAACAGGGATCGTAAGATTAAACAAATCTCAGCCATTGAGATCTAATTTTGCCCAGAAGTATAAATAGGCATTTTTTCTGCAGAAAAAGGTTTACTTGCATTTCTCTTTCTGCAAAACTTCTGCGAGAAGCTTCATTGTGCACTTTCTGTTTGTGAACTGCGGTAACAACTGGGGATCTCTACATCAAATCTTTCGAAACCGAAATCAGGTACTGTACACGAACCTCTGATTTCAAGTTAATCGAAGTGTTTCTCTCCTTTCTCCCTTTCTGTGGTTGGTTTAGAATCCTCTGGAGGAAGTTAGGGTTAAAGGCGAGAGGGATTTTGAATGTGCAACAAAGATGGGGGTTGTGGGTTT